CTTTATCGACCAAAACACTTCAAATTATAAAAGAACAGACTCTTTAATTTATTACAAAATTAAAAACATAAATTACTTTTAAAAAATAGTTATTGCCAAGCACGGCCTCATTGCAGATTCGGTGGTGGGGCGGGTTTAACCCGAACCGGAAGTCCGGAATGAGTCAAATGTCCGTATTGCAGTTAGCGTAGAAAACAAGCACCCTATCATTCTCTCTGTCTCTGTGTCTTCCTCCACCCTTCTCCTGTAGCTGTTCTACGCCTCCGCCGCCCTCTGAGCTCAGAGAAAAATGGAAGCCAAGCCTTCTCCTCAGTTCAAGGTAAACTCTGTACTTAACCCAATCAACTACTTTTGCTCTAGCTTTCTATGTTCTTTCTGTTTCATTCTAAGAATGGGAAAAAAAAAAAAAAAGATTTTTATGAATCTTAGGAGTCCTAGAAACTTGGAAACTTCAGCTCTTCAAATCTTTCACTGGAAATTTGATAAAGTTAAAAGCTTGGAATAAAACAGTTTGTGGGGCGTGAAGTATTTGTCTTGAAAATTTATATTTGAACTATTTGTTGTGGTGCAGATAATCTTGGGATCTTCTTCCATTGCCCGTCGGAAAATATTAGCTGAAATGGGATACGAGTTCACAACCATGGTAATTCTCATTCTGTTTTAGAGTTGGGTCTCGTTAATTTGCTGTTACTTGCTGCATCACAAGAAGCTTGAATTTTATTTTATTTTTTTGTTTGGTAGACTGCTGGCATTGATGAAAAAGTCGTTAGGAAGGAGACGCCTGAAGAGCTGGTTGTGGCTTTAGCTGAGGCAAAGGTGCTGTGTTCCATTTCTTCATTATTAGACTTTGGAATTGCCCTTGATGAAATTTGATTTCTTTACTTTGCTTTAAGTTGATTTTAGGTTCTATTGTTATCAATTTTTGTTTGTTAGACCTAGTTCAGAAGAAGGGCAGTTTGTTTTTTATCGTCTTATACTTCCTAATGCAAGTTGCAGAGAGAATTTTCTTGATCCTTTCATTAGTTTGAGTTTGAATCACGTCACAGGCTGATGCAGTTGTATCGAAACTACAAACTATTAGTAATCAAGACAAGGAAGACAAACCAACAATTTTGATTGCAGCTGACACAGTATGGCTTAATTCCTTTTGGTTATTGATCATACTCCCAATTTAGAACTCCCAATTTAGAACAAAAGCATGTTTGTCAGGCCTTGTTACTACACCAAGTGCCATCTATGGTGTGAGGATACATTTTTGGTGAAGTACTATGTTTCAGTACCAGCACCATATATGGACCCAATACTGAGAAATAAGTCATGAATGCTACTTAGGCTGCAAATAGCATGTATTTTTTTGCTGCTAATCCAAAATATTTTTCTGTTGTGATGTCAGTAGAATCATGAAGATAGCTTATCATCCAAATAATGTTATCAAAGGCATAATATAATTCTTTTCTCCATGGCTTATGTGCTTGGTTGGTTGGTTTTGAATTTTCTTTTCTTTCCTGGTGAAAACTTCTTGAGCAGAAGCCATCTTACAAAGGCTACCCCTTGGTGACTACATAGCAAAAGTTGAGCTAACATTGTTAATTACTGCTGACCAAGTATTAATTAGTTCCTTTAGTATTTTTTCAGTTCCTCGTTTCTCACTTTATCTTACCTGTGCATTCAACGTGTCAAACTTGCAACAAATTGCCTGTTATTTATTATCTAGTTCGTCTGCCCAACTGACTCCTTAATATCCTTTAATCAGAATAAAAGAGAAAGAATGATGGGAGAGGGATGCAGGTATGGGGGTAACACCGCTCTCCAGAATATATAGAAAGAAAAAAAAAATGAGGAGTGATTAGACTTTTTAGAGAGGATGCTATCCCTCCCATTTGAGCTCTCGCCATAGACTTATGGTCATTCTGCAGACTATTTAGTGAGGTAGATGGTGGAATGCAGAATCTAAAATATGTATGAGTAAATATTCAGTTCTTATAGTTTAAGATCTGTTTTATGTGCATCTTTTTCTTTATACCAGCTATTCTTTTGTAAATACTTAATTGCATGAATTCTCCAAGGAGTTCATTTTCCCTATATTTTGTAAGGGTTGGCTGTAATTAGACAGATTTTAAAGTTGCTGGTGCTAAATCCATGCACATTTACAGCTGCACTGATGTTCTTTTGTGCGCAAAAGCATTCACAATGTATCCTCAAACATAAATGGCTTTTGGTGACAGTACATGCTTGTATGCATTGATATTTTAGTCCTGCAGGTTGAATGTTTCTATCTCTATTAATTCTTACTGTTATCATTAAATGATATTGAGGTGGTCGTCTATGAAGGTGTTGTCCGTGAGAAACCATCTGGTGAGGAAGAAGCACGGCAATTTATAAAAGGTTCCTATTTCCCTCTCTACTTCAATTTCTTATGTTTTCAACTTCTACCTTCTCAAGGCTTTGTGATTTACCTGAATGTATTGCAGGCTATTCAGGGAGCCATGCTGCAACAGTGGGATCAGTTGTTGTTATGAACCTCAATACAGGTTTTAGAAAAGGAGAATGGGACAGAGTAGAGGTCGCATTTACTTCTAATTCTTCTGAATATTTGTCTAAACAAGAAATCTGATTAGTTGAGTGATTGTCGTGCCCTACAATGTTAATAATTGGTCTGCAAACTAAATGGTACAGCATTATGTCATCTCATGCGTTCATTTCCAGTTGTAAATCCATTAAACTCCTTGCAGATATATTTCCATGAAATTCCTGACGAAGTCATAGAGAAGCTGGTAAAGCTGTTTTTCTGTTTGTAGTTTCTTGCGCTCTCATGGTGGCTGTCAGAGTTTTATCTGATATATATTAGTCTCTTCTTGTACAGATAGAAGAAGGTGCAGTACTCAACGTAGCTGGAGCACTAATCATCGAACATCCTCTGATACTGCCCTACGTCAAAGAAGTGGTTAGTTTGCCTACTTATTTCAATGATTCAATCCATAAGAACAATGCAAAAAGTACCACATACTAGATTAGATCGAAGAGCAACAGGCAGTAACGTTGTCCCTGCAGGTTGGGACTACTGACAGCGTGATGGGATTGCCGAAAGCTCTCACTGAGAAACTGATACGGGAAGCCCTCTAGCTGCATCAGTTGATCAAAACAGTTAGAATACACACTCACACCAGCTTTCCTTTGGTTCCCACTAATTACCATTTCAACTAAAACACGGTTTGCATCCAAACACAAGGCATATTCTTGTTCAATTATTTGCTGAAATTAGTATAGTAGAATTAATGGCCTGTTGGTTTAAGTGAAAGGTTTAAGTGAAAGGAGTTCTATTTCTCTTAAACAAGATTTTAAATTTGAGTTTAGTGAATAAAAAAATAAGTACTGAGAGAACTGTCCTCATATGAGGTCTGACCTGCTTCAATTGCAGATTAATTAAGGTCCATTGATTTCTGCATATGAGGGGATAGTATGAAAGGAAAAAAAAAAAGCATAGTAGAGGAATATTCTATAAAATTAGTCAAGATTTTTCTGGTGAAAACGAAACTCTTACTTCCCCAAGCAGATCCCACGTGCGCATGATGGCTACCTCTAACAACTTATTAATCATGGTTTTATCTATACGAAACAGGTAAATTGTATTTTATTTAACCATTAACGAAAAGATGATTTTAAAGAAGTTTTTATCGATGAAAAGGACGAGTTTATTAATATAAAAAGTAAAATTTTCCATCAATGATTAAAACGTAATTTTAAACAAAAATAAAAATAATAAAAGAATATATCGTCGGCCAACATAAAAAATGATAATTTTAGATAATTTTTACATCTCCCTTGTCGCATGCAATGACGTTGTTTATAATAATTTTTTTTTAAAAAAAGAAGAAGTTATTTTTGATTTCTCAGTTTTGTCCTTCATCATTTTTCCCTTGCCACATGAGAGAGGGACATGAATGAAATGAAATCTACCGAAGAATTGGTGGTGCCGTCACCCTCGCAGAAGAACAACCGTTTCATAACTGTCAAACCCCCTACCCCCCCCAATCCCCTCCATTTTTCTGCTACTCGGTTGGCTAGGGAACCACCATGGAGCAAGGGGGCACGCCCACCGTCGCCGGTGGTGGCTCGGGCAGCGGATCTGTCGGAGTCCAGATTCAGCACAGCCGACGGCTCCCTGATTTCCTCCAGAGTGTCAATCTCAAGTACGTTAAATTGGGCTACCACTACCTCATCTCCAATCTTCTAACCCTATGTTTCATTCCGTTGATCGCGGTAATCTCCGTCGAGGTTTCTCAGATGAATCTCAATGATTTGCGCCTTCTGTGGCTGCACCTTCAGTACAATCTAGTAAGCATCATCATCTGCTCCGCCATCTTGGTCTTCGGGTTAACGGTCTACATCATGACCCGACCCAAACCTGTTTACCTAGTCGATTACGCCTGTTATCGCCCTCCGGATCACCTGAAAGCCCCCTTTGATCGGTTCATGGAGCATTCTAGGATCACTGGGGATTTCGATGAATCGTCTCTGGAGTTCCAGCGCAAGATTTTGGAGCGGTCAGGTTTAGGTGATGAGACTTACGTTCCCAAGGCGATGCATAATATCCCTCCGACACCGTCTATGGCGGTTGCCAGAGAGGAAGCACAGGAGGTAATGTTTGGAGCATTAGACATTCTTTTTCGCAACACGAACATAAATCCTAAGGATATTGGTATTCTTGTTGTGAATTGTAGTTTGTTTAATCCTACGCCTTCATTGTCAGCTATGATTGTGAATAAGTATAAGCTTAGGGGGAATATTAGGAGCTTTAATTTGGGGGGAATGGGATGTAGTGCTGGTGTTATTGCGGTTGATCTTGCCAAGGATTTATTGCAAGTTCATAGGAATACTTATGCAGTTGTTGTCAGCACTGAGAACATTACCCAGAATTGGTATTTTGGGAATAAGAAGTCTATGTTGATCCCAAATTGCCTGTTTCGTGTTGGGGGTTCTGCACTATTGCTTTCAAACAAATCCAAGGACAGGAGGAGGGCTAAGTATAAGCTTGTTCATGTGGTGAGGACTCATCGTGGTGCAGATGACAAGGCATTTAGGTGTGTCTATCAGGAGCAGGATGATGCAGGGAAAACTGGTGTTTCACTGTCAAAAGATTTGATGGCAATTGCTGGAGGAGCTCTAAAGACCAATATCACTACATTGGGCCCTCTAGTACTCCCAATTAGTGAGCAGCTCCTATTCTTTGTGACTTTGCTAGTGAAAAAACTGTTCAACTCAAAGGTCAAGCCTTATATTCCAGATTTCAAGCTGGCATTTGATCATTTCTGCATCCATGCTGGTGGAAGGGCTGTCATTGATGAGCTGGAGAAGAATTTGCAGCTGCTACCAGTACATGTGGAGGCTTCTCGGATGACTCTGCATCGCTTTGGGAATACTTCTTCAAGTTCCATTTGGTATGAGTTGGCCTACATTGAGGCTAAGGGAAGGATGCGGAAAGGTCACCGCGTCTGGCAGATTGCATTTGGGAGTGGTTTCAAATGCAACAGTGCAGTTTGGCAAGCTTTACGGAATGTGAGGTCATCTTGTAATGGTCCCTGGGAAGATTGCATTGACAAGTATCCGGTTAGGTTAAGCGCCTAATTTAGCAGCATTTCAATTATTTTCGATTTCAGGGCATTTCAATTTCAATTGGAAGCTATTCCATTGGATATTGCATCTTGATCTGTACTTCACTCGGTCCTCACTCTGAACAGTGAACACGCTTGTCAGGTTTGGTTGATTTTGTTTATCATCCTTGTTGCATTTGAATGTCATCTGTAAGACTGCTCATCCTGTACCATATTTCTTACCAACATTTTTCTTCTGTTTATGACTTTGTAAAACTCCGAGTTTCCTCCTCTCTCTTTTTGTTATTTTCCTTCTAGAAGTTCTCTTCTTTTATCCCTAGTTTCTTGAAGATTTACTGAAATAATTAGGAAATTCATAAATTTTTACCTCATTTGAGTGAATAACACTTCTTTATGTTTGAAAGCTAAACACTACCCATTGTTAAGTGATTGGGGCATTGAGCCTTTCTCATGCCGAGACCCATTAGGGGACTAATCTGTCTCCCATAGATCAGTTCAGCAGTGGTGGATTTGTAGAACTAATGTACTAACCAATGTAAATGTGTTTCATTACATTGATTTTAACTACTCAGCTGCAATCTTTCTGTCTGCTAGTCATTCATTTGAGGGGGAGGCTGGGTTCCAATACCGAACCCAGTAATACAAGCCACGGGGAGTAGGTGGCATTGCCACCTGCTCTATTGCCGTGGTTCATGGATGCTTGGTCTTGTGGACTATGAAAAGTAGCTACTTGTGGGTAAAAACAAACAATTCTTTCCCAGAGTCTACTTCTCTTCATTATTTCCCCTCTCCTCCTCGACCCCCATAACAGTGTGGCAAAACCACTCCTGTTATAGAACTGGCCAGCTAAGCTGGAATAATAGATCTCAATAGGCAGATGAAAAAGAGGAAGCTTTGATTCGGTTTATAAAACTTTGTAGCTCTGTAGTTTGCATTTAAGTTGTAAACAAGCATATCAGATTGTTGGCTTGATGATGCAACTTTTATGCAAACATCTTACAGATAATTCATTTGAGAAAATTTGATAGAAAGTAATCCAAAAGTTGACACCCTAATTTTCCAATGAAAATGAAAGCAATATCAATGGTATTTAATCAGAGAAAATAGGCAAAAAAAAAAAAATCAGTTTGACAGGATAAGAGCAATTTTTATTTCAAGATAATGGAGCCATTAAGAAATACATGCTGAGGAAAATTCAAAATGTTGAAGATAAAATGGCCAATGTAAACAATTCAATATTGCAGAAATCTCCATAATCCCTGGAAAAATGTTGATGATGAATGGAATTAGCCTTTCCCAGCAAAACTCCTCATCTGAAGGAAAATTGAATTTCTTCCAGAGTTCTTCCTTTTGTTTCAGGGACTAAAAGGGTCACAAATGCCACGGTAAAAGCACTAAAAACCATGTAAATGGTAAAAGTTCCTGTTCGAAAAGAAGAAAACTCAAATTCGTTAGAAGACCGATATATATAATTTATATATATATATATATATATATATGTATGTATTTATATATAGACAGAGAGAGACCTCCACTGCTCCACTCTAGGAGAAAATTGATAGTCATTGTAATGATCCAGCAAAAGAACCAGTTACCAAGTGTAGCTACGCTTCCTGCAAGACCTTTGATATTGATTGGAAGTATCTGAAATAAATATTACCAAATTATATTAGACAACATGTAATATAGATGGGCAGATATATTTTGTATGGCTGAAGTATGATCTGAACAGGAGTTTCCAACTCCAGCACAGTTAAATTACATGAAGCAACCAGCAAAAATAGCCAATGCTAGATGGTAGTAAAGTGCTGGTATGTACCTCAGACATTATGATCCAAGGAATGGGTCCCATGCCCAGACAGAAAGTAAACACCATTCCCTGGAAGAAGTGAAGAACAGTGTCAGACAAGAAAATTTTGGGCATGACAGAATAACTGATGGTCTCAGAATACATTATAGACATACCACAACTCCAACTACTGATATAATGCCCAATATTCCATAAAGGCTAGAATCACTTGACACGGAGTCCTGGGATCCATCATCAGCATCACAATGAAATAGGCAAAAACAGAATGTTAATGAACCAAGCTTAGTTTTGTGGTTCTTTCACTTCTTTTAGGAAGGAAGATCAAATGTTCAAATCATGCTTCCCCTCTATAGAACCAAAAGGAAGAAAAGGGAAAGGGGGTAGAATCTTATTTAATTACTTTCAACTGAATTGGCAGTAAATTTACCTTCAAAAAGAATGCCACGGCAACAATTAGGAGGCAAAGAGTTACTCCAGAAGAGGAGACCTGCAAAAGAGAGATGGAAGAGTTATGCACTTCTGGCTCTTGGGTATTACCAATTACACAAATTAGTTGCTTAAACTCACTATAAGCAGCAGCCTCCGACCCGCTTTGTCCATTAACCATGTGGCTAATACAGTAGTGATAACCTAATGGCAGATATACTCCAATTACGATTATGATTTCATTATAGGATTATAACGTTTGAACTGAGAAATTGTGCAGCAAAGAAAAAATGTGGTATTCCTTCAAGCTATACCTGAACAGCACCTATTCCAAATGTTGCTACACTGCTCGATTTAATCCCTGATCAAAATTAAAGCAACTAAATAAGCCTTTTAACTGACATACTAATCATATTTACCATGATTCTGCAAGACCTTAAAAGTGATTCATGTAAGATAGGGAGCCTGCCTAAGCTTACCAGCAGATTCAAAAATTGAAGTAGAGTAGAATATAACACCATTAATGCCACAAAGTTGTTGCAACAGGAGTAATACAATTCCAACCTGAAGAATATCAGTTTGTGGAATCAATTATATGCTGTCATTTTCGCACAATCAAATTGCATGACAGTTCAGACGAGTTGAAATTGAACATATGAGAAATTAAAAGTACCATCAAAGGAAACCAATATCTCCTTTGTTTGAGTTCTGCAAAACGAATCATAGTTCTTCTGCTTGTTGATGCTACAGACCTCTGTACCATGCAATTTTTTAGGGAATATACAGATTAGTTGATAGAACGATGAACAGGGAGAACAGTACTTATAGATGGATAATAGTTTTTAAGCAGAAACTCACAAACGAGCAAGTGGTCATACACTTCAAAAGCTATACCACTACTAAGCAATACCAGTTTGACTTGGTATTTGTTACCTTGATTTCATTCACTTCAAGGGAAATATCAGTATCAAACCCCCGGAGAACTTGCAAAGATGTTTCAAAATCTTCTGTCAAACCCATTTTTGCCTAAATTTAGGAAAAACAACCTGCATCAGGAGTGACTATAACAATACATCTGATCAGGCTCAAGAAACTACGTACTTCATTGAGCTTACCAGCCACCGAGGAGATTCTGGAATGAAAAATAGACCAGGTATCAAAATTGTACATGGCAATACTCCTGAAAGACAAAGGTAATCAAGTTCCATGAATAAAAAAAAAATGCTAATTTCAAATATTCTCCATTATTTTTCAAATAAGTTTAAAACCTATGTTAATTTTTAAATAGGTTCAACTGGGCAATCTAAAGTTCCAACCATTAACTACAGTTAATATAAACTAAAATATGTAGAATGTAAGGGGTTCCTCAAGACCAGAACAGAATAAACACTTAAATGTTTAATCCAATATTAAGCCATTTAAGCAGTGGAAAAGTGCACTCCAATGATTAAGGGTTCAAATACGCTCTGTAAAACTGTCCTGCTACGTTGAAGACAAGCTTGAACTGGAATTACTAAGACATGATAAAGATGATGAAGAACTGTTAGAATCCATTTTTTTTCAAAGATTGTGCTCATTTAAGCAAGGAGAAAAGCCTCTCCTCCTCCTCCTCTGATTGCCTAAGGAAAGGAAGAGAAGGGTGTTTGACAAGAAATCACTTTTTCAAAATATGATGCAGCCACCAGTTTGAAGATTTTCAGATGATTACCTAGAATTGCAAGTACTCTCCATTGGACAAAAATTCCCAACAGATAGGCCACCATTATTCCAATTGTAATAGAGAGCTACACAGCATGATGTACTACACTTGATTAGCACGAGAAGGGGTTAAAGTTCTTTAGCAACACTACTGAAAAATAGAACAAGAGCAAACCTGATACACTGTGCCCAAGCTCCCTCTCAAGTTTTGAGGTGCTATCTCGGCTACATACACAGGTACCTATGGATGATTTAAAAAGTAAATGTTCTCCGCATTTCTTTTGCATGAATAATCAATCTGAAGAATCAAGGGAGAGGTTAATGTTACTGTAAATGAGATTATTCCCACACCGAAACCTGTCAGCACTCTTCCCAGGTAAAGAAAAGATGTATCCTACAAAAAGCAGCAAGTTTTATCATAAATTTACACTAGTATTTTTTAGGGTGTGGTTATTGCCACCATAGAAAAATGTTAAGGCCACCAATTTTTCAGGTTTTTTTCTTAAACAGAGTCTGAAAATCTGAGTTTGTTGACTGATTTCAATTTGTTAACTAATAAATAACAATTGTTCTATCAGTTATTAGTTAATAGTTACAGTTGTAGCCATTTTTATCAGTCAAATTAAATAAAATCAGTACTTTTACAGACAATAATTTACAATTTTTAGTGACTAACATTTTGATTGGTGGCCATAACCCTGCCCTTTTTTTAACCTAAGGCTAAAGTCATACAGAACTTGGTAATTTGTAAAACTCACTTGTGCAAAAGCTATGGCAAGCCATCCAATGATATTGGGAATAGAAGCAATCACTAAAGACTGTTAAAAAAAAAAAAAAAAAACACCATGAACTTTAGTAATAGAAACACCAAATTAGAGCTAATGTAGTGTGATGCTTAACCAATGACTGATTCGTACCCCTTTTCGCCCAATATACTCTGCTATCTGACCGCTGGCTATTGCCCCAACCATGGCACCCACATTTGACAGAGAGCCAAATAAGGAAAACTGAGCCAAATATGGAAGGAGAGTTATAAGCAAAATCAGATTAAAGAAACACCGTGATAATCAAATTGAAGCAAAGTCAAAGTTCACCTGAGAGACTGTCAATCCAAGATCCTCCGTGATCGCATCTTGGGTAGGAGAAGAAAAACCAGACTACAGGAAAAGCCATCCAAAAATCCAATTAAAACTCGAAACTTTTCATTTCTGAACAATCAAAAGTAGAAAGAAAGGATCAAGTAGAAAGCCAAACGAAGTAATTTACAGTGTAGCCAAATTGGAGAGGACCCAACGCAACAATCAAAACACATCCAAGAACAGAAATAGAGCTTTCCCGAATGGCTTGGGATGACCCCAACATGCCAGATTGACCGGAGCCCATCCGATACCAACTCCCGGTATGCAGAAACGGTTTCCGGGGATCCCTCCCATCATCTGTATCGTCCCTGAAACTCATTCTCTGATCAATAAAGACAGAGCTACTGCTAATAGGAAGATGTTCGACGAAATGCCTAGGAGAAAGAAAGATCCTCTGGAGTAAAGTCAGAGACCATTAGAATCATCTATGAAAATAAAAGAAAAGACGTCAGAATTGAAACTGGTATATCAGTGGCTCATAGCCCCCTGCTCCACCGTAACGTGCAGGACTCCCTTAACGACAATAATATCGCTCAAACTTGACCATCACCATCTACCCAACTTGACAATCTTAATAAAAATCCCAAAAAAAAAAAAAAAAAAAAAAAAAAACTCAACTCGTGGGGGTAGAAAATGCCAAATAATGTTCAAAACATCTTTTAAGGAATCGTCTTTTTCTAGTAGTAATCATCAACTTGAACCGATATAAAATTTCAAAGGAAAAATGAGCAATACGCCTTTTTGTTTTTCCTTTAGGTTGAGTTATTTTATTTATTACCAACTAATTTTAAGTAAATGTAAGTTTTATATTAAAGTCTACATCTATAATTTTTACATAATACCAAATCTTAAATTATATTCTTGAAAAATTTGTTATCAGCACATTTAACAAAACTCAATTTATATGTATATGATAAAATTTGACATTTACAATAAGTTTACACATAAAAAACTTACATCAAAGATATCAAATTTACACGCAGAGGACTCACATCAAGTATATAACAGAAGAAACTCATTATAGGAGTATGTAACAAAGAATAGATAATAAGGATATATTTATCTTGTGCCCTAATAGTAAAAGATAAGTAATAATTACTAATTATTCATTATTAATTTTTACTTTGAAAGTGATGAAATTAACTTTTATTTTAATTGTAGATATCATACGTTAAGTTTTGATTGGTTTATTTTAAAATAAAAATAAAAATTATTTTTTTAATTTAAAATTTCACCTCTTTTTTTAGTATTATAATAATTATCTCATCATTACTTCTTATTTTATGTCTTTAAAGGTACAGAATAAATAAACTCATACACTAAAAACTCATTGTCAAAGCATATAGCGAAGAAGAAGTAGAGGAGCTCGTTCCCAACCTATTGTAACATTTATGATGTGTTAAGTATATAATAAAAAAATGTAAGGAGAGTTATTTTATTTATTATTAATTAATTTTAAGTTGAATATAACTCTTAGTCTATACACTCAATTTTTATATTTTATATAATTTTTTCATGTAATTTTATATATTAATTAACAACTATTTTATTTTATTTTAAATTTTATAATATTATATATTAATTTATTTAAGAGAAAATCACATATCAATTTTGATTCTTAAAAAATTAGAGTCATATTTTTAAATTATATCATTTTATTTAATTAAAACTTAATTTAAAATTTAAAAATTTATTTTATTAAATATTGATATTTAAATTTAGAAACTAATTGAATTTTTAAATTTGAATTGAGAATTTAATTTCTAAATATAAGTTGATATTATAATTTTTTTTAATAGTTGGGGTTCAAATGCATTAATAATTTTATTTAGTAATATATAAAAATTGTAAAAAAAAATTTGTAGGCATATCATTCTCTGTTTTTTTAAAAAGATAGTCCGATTTATAATGAGAAAATCTTTGATAATCTCTTGGGTAATGTTGTTGTCGGCAATTCTACTCTAAAAAAATTCGAATTTATATTCCACGTCAGAGGTAATATTTTTATATTAAAAATAAAAAATTTTAAGTTTGAGTGACATATCATTTATGTATAATAAATTAAGTAACATAAAAATATAATTTTTTTTAATAGTTTACGATTTAGAGAGAGAAAATTTTTTAAAATGTTGATAAATTTTGAAATTTTGATTAATAAATCCAAACATTCTAAAGTTTGAAAGTGAAGGTCTTATTCAAAGAATATAAATTTTATTGTGCCAACAAAATTAAAAAATAAATAAATAAATAGCGCGCACCCGTATCTTTATAATTGGGGGGTACAATATTTGTTAAATTTATTATTTGTCCAAAAAATTGAGAAATAAAAGAGGCTGAAATGGAGCCGTCGGTTAACATCGAAATGTACCTAACAGTTGTTTTTGACTGCTAGATAAGGGCTGCGCTGGATGTAGCAGTTTATGCGAGACAAAATAAGCCGAGTTTGACGCCGTCCAATGGGGAATTATTATGGCGACATTGTAAAGGTGTTTAGTATTAATTAGTTAAAGTAATTTCTAATGATATCTTTACAAAGTTGGTACTCAAATATTTTATTTTTAATTTATTAACTTTTGTTTGTTTTTGCTAATTGACATGTGAAGGGGTCTTGTCAAGTAAGTAGGATTAGGAGCCATGAATGATTGATATAGTTCTTTTTCGCACCGTTAACAAGATCTATTCATTACTGTATTTTTTTTGACAACTTGCTTGAGGATGCATCAAGTCATTTGCCTTTCTGGGATGATTTCTGGGATGATGGTGGCTGGCTACATTCTATTCTACACAGTTTCTTACTTTCTGATCTAAAAAAACTAATAGTAATCTAAGTTATTATGTAGTGTTAGTTGGCAAGTTTAGTTTGATTAGTTGATGACTATCTTATGGTTTAGGATTTCTTAATGTTTTAAATAAATTATAAATGCTCTTAATTTGATTACTCATTTTTTAGTTGCTATTGCTTTGTTGTTTTGCTTTTAGTAAATGTGTTCCTTATATGCTTTAACAGTGAAAACTTTATGATTTTTCAATTTTTCTATATGCAACTATTTGGGAATGTTTAATTTATATATATATATAAAAGAATTGTTGTTTTACGTTGTATTAATTTTGTTTTGGCTATTTGAAATTGGAAAAATGTAGAATGAAACTTTAATTGGAAAGAAGGATTTAAAATTGAAATAAAGTTACAGATACGCGGGTTAAGGCCGATCCGAACCGATAAAATTAAGAAAAAAATCTGATGAAACCGATAAAAACCGTTTTATTTTGGTACGATTTGCAACTTATTAAAATAAATAATTAAAAAAACGATTAATTATTGAAATAAGTCGGTGTGGTCACCGACCCGACCGACGCCCACCCCTAAGCTACAAGGTGGGTGGTGAAGGTTATTAATATTTTATTAAATATAT